CACACCCACACACACACACACACACACGCACACCCACACACGCACCCACCCACCCACCCACACACACACACACACGCACACACAGACAAACACACAGACACACACACGGATAGTTTTGCAGCTCTCTGTGCATTGTCCAGCCTAATGATGAACTCAATGAGCGGCTCCTTCCCAGAGAAAAAGGAAGAATGTTGGTTCCTACCACTGGGAGTCGACTTTTTGTGTGATGATGACTAAAATCCCAGTCTCCCTGGGAATGTCAGAAATGCCACTCACCACTTCCCAGCAATGTGTGTTGACGACCCGGCGAGCACACACTGGGAATGCCAGAAATGGCAATCCGGTGTTCATATTGCAGTAAGGATAGTCCATACAGCTTTAAGAAGCAGAGACACTCTGCATCAAAAGGAACTTCAACAGCAGGTTCAACGAAGAGAGAAGTAGGTCATCTCACCTTTACACATAGTCCTAGAGTATCACCAGGCTTCGCTGCATAAGCCACTCTCTCGTCCGCCAGTAGCATAACCTAGGAGTGAAACGGCGCATTTGCGGAGAATCAGCATGGCGCTGGACATCCTTTTCTTTTTTTTTTTCTTTTTTTTTCCAGGCGGTGAGCCCATGCGGAGACATGAGCTGCTCCTACCAGCATCTCAAGCTGCCTCCGGAGATTGTTTAAAAAAAAAAAAAAAAAAAGAGACATGAGCTCAAATCTTGCCTAGCCCCTGTGAAAAATTGGCCAGGCGCATCATGTCTCCAGCCATGCGCGCACTGACCGCAGGTTAAGGGCCTGGTTGCACTACTCCCCACACGCCAAGTTTGGCGAGTAGGCGCCTGGTTGCACTTACTCGCCAAACTTGGTGCGAGGAAACCTGTCAGAACTTTTGCCTAGTTTCCTTTTAAGCCCTTTTCCATTCCGCCACAGAGTGCGGTGAGTTCCCGACTCTGTACTGCTATACATTTTGTGGAGGGTCATCCGCGTGACATCTCCACAAAACAACTTCTTGGCAAGTGCACGGCTTCACGACTGGAGATCAGGCAGACCAAAATTATTAACTTTTCGGAAGAAGAAATATAGTGGCGACTAAGTGCAACCAGGCCTCCAGTTCGACACGATTCTAGTTTCTTTTACTCTCCACACATCCGCCATGAATTGTGGCGGATGGTGAGTAGTGCAACTAGGCCCTGAGTCTCTCCCTACGGTGGACATCTGTGGACATCTTTTTGATTCCAGATATTGAGAAAAAAAATACTGAGAAGTTGCGATGCTGTGTTCCGCAGGCCCGACTACTTGCCTGTGGCATCCACAAGGACAATTCTCTATTTCCTCCCAATGACTTCTGGCACTGCATGATTACCCTCCTGAAGGTTCTGGCAATTTATGTCTGTAGTATGTAATATACTATGCAGTGATTGTTCTTATCGCAATCCCAGTAGCGGTCGTAATAGGTTTTCTTTTGTGTGGGCAGGCCAATGGGCAGAGGTGTGTGTGTGTGTGTGTGCGTGTGTGTGTGTGTGTGTGTGTGTGTGTGTGTGTGTGTGTTTTAGATTTTCCCCACAACAGCCCCAAATCCACCCAGGTGAATAGATTCAGAATCAAAGCAGTCTGTCCCATTGCAGACAACGAGAGCATTTGAGATGTCCAACATATTAAAGCAATTTTATAATTAGACAGTTTTTTGGTTGTCCTTGGGGTACCCCTTTCATTGTTCTTGCAGCTCCCTTTTTACTGTGCCTCTTACGCACAAGGCTGCCCACGTTGATTGTGGTTGAGCGGCAGCTGCCCACATCCGCGTGTGCCTTGGCCCAGGAGTTCATTTATATTGCAGCCCTTACTGGCCCATGACCCTTCCACAGCGATGCTTGCCCCTGTACATGTGTGGGCTGCTATTCAGCTTTTTTATTGGAGTAGGGGAGGTTATTGCCATCCACCACTTGCACCAACCATTTATCGCATCGTGTTCACATAACGAGACGTCACCATCATACCCTGTCCAAGTGAGCGGCTGCCTTACCATAGCAATTGCAACCATCTCTCTCTCTCTCTCTCTCTCTCTCTCTCTCTCTCTCTCTCTCTCTCTCTCTCTCTCTCTCTCTCTCTCT